GTATATGTAATCTTGATTATAACAAAAATATGTGCCAAAGTTTTCTCCAAACTCTGTGAAAGAGTCAGAGCTGGAAAAAATGTTTTCATAAAACATGTAGGAGGCCTGGAATTCGACATGACTTTTTAGGGTTAAATAAATAGCCAAAGTCTTCAGATGAGTGGCACAAAAGTAATAAATACCGTAAACAATAATCACCACATAATCACCAATAATGATCACCACACAACATACAAAGCTATAGTGAAGTCAAGGTTAAGGTGATACACACTTTCTGTCATTTTTTAGAATTTGTGTTTACTTAATTAAATGGGAAAACTATTTACATGTATCTCTAAAAACACACGGGTTTCCTTTCCCATGAATATGAGGTTTTATGTCAACCACAATGAAGCATAAGAACGCCCAAACTAAAGAACTGACTTTACTCGATTTTGGGGGGAATTAAAGCACATTGCACGTTCTGTATGGCCAGGAATGAAAATGACACCATAGAGCCTTGAAGTTGAAAACTATGTTTGGTGGGATTTAGTGGGGATTACCTTATTTGCTTTGCAACTTTCGCACTGTTGGTTGTCATTAGTAAATGTGTACAATAGAACATGATCGCATGTCTTTATTGCTTTGTCAATGTCAAAACACTAACAGTTTATCTCCTGGTTGGTTCATGAATATTGCAAGGCAAAGAACTTCCATGGATTTGTGCGCCCGTTCCTTCCTCCGTGGTTAAACAAAGATAGAACGAACAAAATATGAATGCTTTCCAGAATATATAGTTTTAAACTTAACTAGAATAGGCCTACAGGGGTAATAATGACACACGCATGAAACAGAAAGTAATATGCTTAAATCAGAAAGTAAAGGTATTTCTCCCATAATACCATTCACTGGTGCACCCTAATTATGAATGGACAAGGCAAGCAGACCACTGTGCCAGTGCCACTGATCTCTATTAATAGAGATCAGTGGCCAGTGCACGTAAACCTATGCAACTTGGCCCTGTCTGCTTCGGGGTCAGCTGATTGATACTCTCACTCCTGCGGTTTCTTTTCTTTTGGGATCACCTGTTACTTACAATTTCAGTGATATATACCCATTTAGCGCTGGACCCCCATGAAAACGAAGAAAGCCACATTAGACTGGGCTCGGTCCAGTAATGATAAGTAGTATAAACTACATCGTTAGTGTTCTTGGAGCCAACTTATGCATCTACAAAAAAACACGTACTGATATTCAATCTACCCCCATGGATCAATGTAAATGTACCAGTACTGTACCCACTTGATTCGCTGCTTTCTGCGCTTGGGATATCTGAAGAACCATATCTCTTCTCTTCGGAATCTGCACTTTATCTTGTACAACCCCAAACACAACAACTGGATCCCATTTCTTTTGGTAGTAGTCCAAGCTATGACCAAGTTCAGTGGTAAGATGTGTACATGTGTGTACATTATACATGTACATGCACATTGAACATCAGTACGTGTTTTTGCAAAATGCATACATGTAGGTTGGCTCCAAAAACACTAACGATGTAGTTTATACTACTTATGATTGGAAGGGCCATACTAACATGATTAAGAAACGACGATCTTGTGTACACACGAAAATTTACGACTGTAATATCTTTTAACAGAGCACTACAAATTCCACTTAAATTAGAAACTAATAGCAAAAACGATTTAATGGGATTTTGTCAAGAAAAACTGAACAAAGTCACAAAACCTGAGAGAAAATGATCATCGAAGTCCCACCCCTGTACATTTTCAATGACCCGCTCACACTTCTTGCCGCCAAGGCCATTTGTGCATGAATGGTTATGAATTTATTAGGGAGGGGTCTCATGTACACATCACATGCTACTATGAATATGCATGGGCAGATCGTGATTACATGCCATCTGTGTACCTGTCCTGGGAAATTGTTTGACATCATTTCTTTATGGTTCTTGTGTGTCTGTTATGATGGTTTACAGAGTACGAGGGCGCTGCACCATTCCTAGTCCTTAGCCAAGACGAATATACAGAGCACCACTCAGCCATTGCTGCTTGCAAGTTCAACCCCTCTGCAACGACAGTGGCTAGTTTGGATGTTGATGGGGTAGTCAAGTGAGTTGTTCAAAATATATCCTTCCTGATAAATGCTGGATGTTGCAAGGTTTTATGGCTCTGGCTATTAGTGTAAATAGAAACATGGATGCAATATCAGTTGAGGTACTGGAGCACTTGATCTGTGTTTTGAGGGTCATGGAGAAAATTCTAATCTGGTGAGAAATTTTTGTCACCTTATATTTGAAATCAGTTTTACCGAAATCTCTCATTAACTAAATGTGTGTTGCCAATGTGCAGAAGTCTTTTGAAAAGTGATTTTTAAAAATCTTTAGTCAATCTTAACTACAATATATGGCATTGGAAATCTTTAAATGTGCTGTTGTTTATTCTTTCCATCATTCTAATCCATAGAATTGAGAAAATTTTACCGAGATGATATTTTATCCACATAGAGTCTGGAAGTTTGCACCTTCTCCAGTAACTACAGCAACCATCATGTACAAATCACCAGTGCTCTCCATAGAGTGGGCTACAAAGTCAGATCGCTTGGTATGGAAACCAACACATGCTTATTCAATTTATATGGTGGACTTTTCTGTTTTGGCATCTCAGTTACCATAGTGTGTGCCAATCGAATGGCCATCGCAAGGGGAAAAACACTTACCCACTGGCTTTAGAGCACTTCACATAAACTAGAAACTGTAAAAAAAAAATGAGCAAAATGGCCACAACCAAAGACTAAATGAATATACATGTACTTAGCCCTGCAAATTATGAGGTTGTCATTATGCCACTTTTAGCAGAAAATGTCACTGATTTTGGTTGGAATGCAGACTGATGGCCACTTGCGTAGGTAAATGGCTCTTAATTATTGAGAAATGTCTTCATTTTGACAAATGTCCCCTTTCTATAAATTACCCTGTTACTAATTTCCTGTACAAAACCACTGAAATAATGAGAGGATCATTATCAAAAGGTAACAGTTTCATTAACCCACATCGTCTTAGGGGTTTCTTGTTTATTTTCTCATTGTTGGCATTAAATTCACTTTTTCTGTCCCGCTTTTGGCTAAACTAGTTTTGTTCTTTCCATTATTTTGCTTTACTACAATATGTGACGCACTGGGCTTATCATTTGGTGTTTACATACGTAACAGCAATAACTAACAGTTTTTTTAGAGTGTCTCGTAAGATCTGGAGCCAGCAGATGGGATAGACGAGATCACATTAACTTCAGTCAGACCCACTGACAGAATCCACAAGCTTCTGTGTAGCTTGCAGATTTCAACAGAATCCAAGAACTCGGACAAAGGGCCTGTTCCAATCCAACAAAAATCCAGCCACTTCACTGACTTACGCATAATTAGCATAAAAAACTATTTATCAGTTTCAATTTCATTTGCTTTTTTAGTTGTTACTCGGCAGTTCAAACGGCACAGTCAAGATTTATGACACAGAGGCCAAGAAACCCGTTTGTGACCTGGAAACAGACAGTGCACACCCAAGGTCTGTGTTCACACAAAAATGAAATCAAGAGTTGTTTATGTGTTCAAAAATGCGATGAATTAACCATAACCATGTCATAGATGACCCAGGAGCAATACCACCACTGACAGCTGATGGATCAACTACCCAGGGTTTATCGAGGTTAAAATAGGGCACCCTACATTTCTGTAGTTTTTACAGGCATATATCTGACAGTTTTTTAAAGCACATTATGTTCTGAACCTCGTTATTATAGGTCTTTTTATACTGTTAGAGGAAATGAAAACATTGCCAACTGGGCTGCCTATTTTTGCCCAACATCAAGTGTACTGATCTATTAAAAGCTGCTTGAGATTACAAGGCATAAGTCTTGTGAACCCATTGGGACATAAACGGCCATAAAAACTTTTGCTGAGAGAAAAATACATGCAGACCTACATGCAATTCAGACAGTTCATGCTTTAGCAGCCAACATGCATGCAAGATTGAGCATGTTGCCGTAAGTCACAGGATGCATCATGTTTTAAAAGGACACGAATAGTGCTGTGCACAGTTTCGAGAGATTATGCTGTATACATGTATGTGTAAGTGTGTATGGGTCATTCTATAAATTCTGGGTCCAGAGGCGTGATTTTTTTTGTGTCGACACTCGACATGTGTAATTTGACATGGATATAATACCTGTATCATGGAGATTGATTTCAAACTATTTTTATTTGTTTGGCAGGTAATTTGCAAATACTTAATCACTCTTGGAAAGTAAAAAATGTGTTGTAAATGTACAAATCATGTGTCAGATGTGATAGGGACCTGAAAAACATTAGACCCCAAATTTATAGAATGACCCATGTGGTCCACTCGGCCCCCCCATACACAGTCCCTGGCCATCACACATCTCCCAGTCACTACAGGGTGAATCACGTCAAGCAAAAGTCCTTTGATCCTTGTAAAATGAACATTGATTGCTCAGTCATCCAAAAACAAATTCCAACAACAGATTATGCCCCCAGGCCTTTTTAGCTTTACTCTTCATTTGTCACATTCTTGTGTTTGTGCTTGACTACGTGCGATAAAACCTCAGACTGTTTTCATCAAGCAGGTATTTGGAGCTGTTGTTTTATTCTTCTTGCTTTGTGATTGCATGCAGGGCAGTCTCTGTGTGTTGTAGCCCCAATGGCTCCCTGTTCATTTGTTCAGCAGCCAGCGTTTCCACCCATCAGCCGACTGGTCTTCCTTCCACGGCTGTATCGTCAAGGTTACTCGTCTGCGACATCAAACAGATGAGGGTTTTGGTCAGTACAGTCATTACCTCTAGCTTTCAATGATGGCAGAAGGGTTAAAAACATTTTTTAATAAATATTTTTTGTGGCTAAAACGTAGATCCATGTTACTGTGACTAACTTAACGTAAGTCATTGTCATTATCAATTCTAATATATCCTTCCAGGGTATGTAAAAATTATGTGTAGGGAATAATTATGAGCTTGGTAGATTGGATTAGGAGCATGGATGTTGATAATTGCCCGAGCCAATTGCTGATAATGGCCAAAGGCAAAGGACATTATTCTGAATGTTTAAGACCAGCTAAGCACATACTTATTCCCACTCATATATACCATTAGGGTCAGGAACTCAAAAATTAAAAAAATTATAATTTCCAATGATTTCATTCCACAAGGTTACTTCTTTTTCAAATACCCCTCTAACCATGTTGTGGTACATGTATGTCCTTGTCATGAGCCAGTGCCTTATCAGTTGCTTATTGTATTTGTAATGGCTCTTGACCAATTGGAATGGCTAAACCATCTAAGGTTTTTATGAAAGAAAATTGTTAAAGAGCCGTATGTCCAGCAGTTTTTTCTAGAAGGATGAATTGAAAACACTTTTCCTATTCGGTTTCAGAATGAGCTAGCAATGACAGCTAATGCAGGTTGTGTGAACTGCACAGCCTTTAACCACAATGGACATCTCCTAGTTACTGGCGCTGCTGACGGAATGATCAGAGTGTTCGGTAATGTGCCTCACGGTGATTCAGTCATCTTGCAGCATTTTCCCTAGTCACCCCCCCTTCAGATCACCTCTCGTGCTTGTTTGCGTATTGAGTTTTCAGTCCCAAAGGGCTCAAAGTATTATTGTTGAAAAAATTTCTTTTATCTTGTCCCAAAATGTTTGTTTACACAGTGAAGTAATGCAATTATGCTTTTATAGTCTTTGCAATTAACTTGGAAAAATTTGTCATTGAAAGCATACTGCACATGAACTCCCATGTCTTCTGTCTGTTAACAATGCTCTCAAAGATATACTATTTTAAGCTACTCAGAAGAACACAGAGACACAGACCAAGTCATAAAACATGTCAGAAAATCATTTGCCAATGAGAATACTTTCTACACAACCACAAGAGAAAAGGGTCTTTTCGAGTGTTAGGTCATGTCTGATCAACCCATGCTCTTGCTGATGTGTCTCAAGCTCTAGAAACTTACCGCAGACCTGACCATTTGGGGGAGTTTTTTTTTCGTTCTATATTTTTATTCAATTTCATTAAGTTTCAAGCAGCGATGTTTTCTAATAAGCCTTTTGCAAGTTAACTTTGACCCAAATCTGGTACACTGAGTTCTTTAATTCACGTGAACATAACAACTTGAATTCTCCTTACTAAAACCACTGTTGCCAAACCTTGTGATTTGGGGCAAGCTTTTGCTTAGATAAGTAAGAGACGCCGTGCAACAATTTACTGTTCTCAATGGATAAAGAGGGCATAAAGGAACCAGTCCATTCCAGAGATGGTGGTCGCCATGTGAAAGCGTGCCCCGAATCACGAGGTATAGCAACTGTGTCTTTAGTCTGGGGAATTCAAATCGTTATGTTTATGTGCAGTCAGATGACTCAGTGCACCAGATTTTATTCAAATTTAACTTGCAAATGGCTTATTGCCAAGGTGCATGTAGTAAGAATTGCAATGGTTTGATCATGACTTTGGATAAGATTGTTACTTTTTCCTGACACGACATTTCCCTGTACGGATAGTTGTGTATGTACATGTATATCCTCTTGTGTTCTTACAGATATGCAACGCTCGGAGAGTCTGCTGAGTTGGCACGCTCACTCTGGCCAAGTCTACGCCGCTCAGTTCAGCCTGGATGAGACATCCGTCCTCAGCATGGGCTCTGACGGAAAGGTAATCATTCACTGAAGTATGCTTGGCCACTAATTGTTACAGTTTTCATTGCAACAATATTATGTGGACCTTGGATTACAATACTCACTGGGCATTGAACACTTGGATGCCAATACCAGTTGATGCCTGCCAAGTAGGCTCATTGCTAGAAAGTAACCTTGTCACTGCGTAAAAGAATCACTGTCGCCTTGCTAATTAATTTGCTTACTCCTAATTGTGACCTGCAAAATGTAAATACAGTTTTCGCAGTGATCCACAGGGCCTGTCTGATTTGCGTGGATCCGGATCAGTGATCCGATATTGATTGATCAGTGATCCGATAACAGGCCCAGAGTCTTAAGGAGAGCAGAGTTTTTTCCTCTATTGTGATGGTGAGAAACCCGTTTAACAGTCAGTTGTGAGTTACCCAAAAAGTAGCTGATGTAATTGTTGTTCAAAAGCATAATTCTTTCTGACAAGCTGTCATTCTGAAGAAAACAATGAAAGAAGTCATTTCCCATGATGCGTCTAAAGTAAATTTTTTTGAATTGCCAGTAGTTGTTTGTTAATTTGGTGAAGGGCATGCGTTCATTGACATGACCTTACAGCGTGTGGTGCGGTTGGTTTAATTCGTCAGTTCAGTATGAAAAATCTTGTAGCCATATTTGGCAAAATGGAAGTGTTTCCTGAATGCTAAATCCAAAATATAACTCGGCAAGTTTTGATATAAAATCAAATTCCAAGAATATTGTTTTTCTCAGAATACGCTGCATTCACTGAGCTTAAATGTCATTCTGGGCACTTTTGTTGCCTCAAATGCCTAACCGACAAATAATGCATTCTACCTTTAACATGCATAACAAGTATCAATCATTTAATTTCCAACATGTAATGCTGTATATGTGTGTGAGTAAGACAGTGCATTAATCACAGTTAGGTGTAGCTATAAATGCAGATAGACACTTTAAGAAAGAACTGTGGGCTAACACATGACCCAAGTCTGTGTGAGCTGTCACTCTGTAGCAATTACTGAAATTGGCCAGCCAGAATCCATCATCAAGTTGTTCAACCTGCTGCCTCTCTGTCGTCTTGCACTACAGTTCAGTCAGTGGAGCATACACAGAGTCGGGGAGAGGCTGCAACAACTCGATATCCATGACGGCGCCACCGGGCCGTTCGTCATGTCGGGGTTCGGCGGATACAAACAGCAGCTGGCTCCACGGGCGAAGCTGTTTGCTTTTGACAGCAGCGGCACTCACGTGCTGACATGCGCACCATACGGTGGCATCATCTATAAGGTTAGCCTCCGACATGCTGGATGTGGCCTCTGTAATCCCTCAAGTCAAATCAGGCCTCTGAGGAATAACATTGTTGAGTTACTTATCTAGCTACACAGAGCAATAGAAAGTAACGAAAGGTAGCTTGTTATTTCTTCATAGTTGCTGCTTGTGTGAAGTCATTTTTTTTTGCATGGCCCTCGTTATGAGAATAATTTGGGTTTTTAAGATTCCAGATTTCTGCATCACTTCAACCAGAGCAAATTAACTTTGACATTATATTATCACAACAAAAGTATCTTATTCTCTGGAAGATTGCCATCACACTAGATTATTTAGAATCAGTGTTAACTTTAAGCATGTACATGTAGTTATGCATCCACTCCACAGTCTTTTCTCCGACTAGGTCATGGAGATGCAGGAAGGCTGCCTCGTTATATGTCCCACACATTCTTGGACAAGTTGTTTTGAAGTTCTGAGATGAAATGATTGTTTCATGTGAAAAGCAGTGGCTGGAGAAGTCATACCCCATCTTTGCGTCCCGTAGATCTCCATCATGCTTTTCTACCATTGAAAGCAATGTAACCAAACATAGGCTGCATCCGAATCTCTTGTCTAGAGCTAGATCTAGGTCTTGGCTCCATTGGAAATGCGTGGAGATGCGTAGACAATAGACCTAGCCGTAGCTCTGGAAGCTCTTTTCGGACACGGCCTGAGGCGGGAAGGAAAAATAGTCTGCTCCTTTATCAATATGTGGAGTTGTATTACTAATCCAATAGGTCTACAGGAACAAGGCAAACATGGCAGCATCATGATGAAGGATCTAACTGGTGAGAGAACCTCTTCCATACTACATGTATTGACCTTTATCATGGTGTATAGAATGGAAGAGGTTCTTTCATCAGTTAGATCCTTCACCCAGTTTGGATTGAAATGTTTCCCACCTTGAAGTAACATGGGGTCTCAGTGTTGTGATAATGGAAATTATGAAGCCATCAGCCAGCATAATTTTCCTCCTTTTTTGGTTCCAGTTGCACAGAGAACATGGGATGGCGAGGTTACTGACCATACTAGGTCATCGCACTCCAGTGGTCAGCGTCGACTGGTGTACATCAGTCAACACAGGCATGTGCTTAACAGGCTCCATGGACGGTCGTGTCCAGGTCACCACTCTACTCAGCCAGTGATGATCCAAGACATGAACACTCAGTATTTTAATCCTGTTTATTTTTTTAAAGAAGTGCACTAACTGAAATATATCAAAATGTAAGGCGATTGTTGTGTTGATTTTAACTGAGCAAGCAGGCAGTGTGTTACACGTGTGATGACGTGCTGGATTTTTGTATCTTGCCATCAGTCTTAAGTGAATTGTCTTTTGTTCACCCGCCCTTTCTCAGCTAGCAAAGGAAACAAAATTTGTCTACAAACTGATAAGTGTGATTGGATCCTATTCAGCCGAGCCGTAAGAAGATTTTTTGATCGTTTTGTATATTTGTACAGGAGTTTACATATACTTTTCCACTTTGATAAACTGCTCAGGAATACGTTTATAAAGTCAGTACATGTACACATGTACATCACTGAATAATATCGGCAGCTTTGCTTGAATCATATTGCAAAGAGTGATTCCCAGTATGCTGCTTCCCATAGCAATTGCCACCAGAAGGCTATTTTCAACTCTAACGTCAACATTGTGTTTGCTGTTTATCATGATATCTTGTCCTCATTGTTTACTTTGTACTTTTCTTGACAGGAAACATGAACAGAACCGACCGTCGGCAGCTTCAGGGAGTAGCAAATGACCCTGTAGCAATATCCGTATGTTACTGTTGTTTTTATGTTAATAGATCTAGCTCCAAATCTGTAATTAGGAATTTGGGTTTTTTTTGCCGGTGGGAGATAGTGTATGGAATTGATTCCATATGGATCAGAACATCATTGGAATCTCCCCAAAATTGAAATAAATCCCAAGTGAGTCATCTACACATTTTGCTCTACTATTGATACAAATGTCTTGTGCAGCTCACTTTGATCTCTTCAGGTCTTCTTGACTTGGAAGTCGAGCACAGCTTGGCACCTGTTACATTCTTTCAGGCTGTGAATGGTCGAGTTTATTGCTATAGAAAAAGCAATGGATTTTTATACCGATTTTAATAGCAGGAACCAAAGTATTATTTCTTTATTTTATTGCGGAAATTGCACCCCTGGCAAATGATTGAATTGACTTTCACTTGAACAATTTAATGTAAGTGCAACTAGGTAGCACAAAAAATTAACTGTTTTTCAGTACATCTTACATACTAAATGAACATTGCTGCAAATCATTTGCTCTATCAAATCTCTCTGCTGTTAAGAACACCCAAATTTATTGTAAATTGGTAACTAATTAAAATCTGTATTTGACGGTCTTGCTGACCCCATCATCCCAACAACCCCGCACCGTCTCATCGAACATATACAGTCATCGGCAACAAAGAATGATTGTTAACGTCCATATAAGCACTTAATAGAGCCTGAAAGTAAACGGCCACGCGGCAAACCCTTGCGTTGTCTGCCTATGGGGATTTGACGTGAGCGTTCCTAACACGTTCGATAATTTTGGGAAGAATGATTTCTAACTGAAACCACCCGGAGAAACACTCATGTCGGAATTTTCCCTTTTGGCCTCAAGTATTCCAAGAAAAGTCCCCTAGAGATGGCTATGGGAAGAAAACTAATTTCATTCACGACCTTTCACTTCTGGCAGTATCGTTCCTAGGTCTCCTTGTTCGTGCAGGTTTGTTTTCATTCCCCTTGCTTACGTGGAAACGAGATTGTACATGTATAACATTGCAAAGATTAACCGACCTGCAGTCGATGGGTTCTAGATTCAGTCGAGTTGACCTGACGCAGTTATTGTCAGCAAAGGTTAGATTTAACAGAATCTTTCGTAAAAGCAGGTTATTGCTTAAAGTTTATTTCCTTATAAATTGCGATAATTTCCTTATGAATTATGATAGGTCAATTTTGGCAGGATATTTCTCTGTTAAGTCAGGTAACTTATTTAAAACGAAAAGCAATTACAAATTGTACAATTTTGCCCGTTATTTTTCCTATCCAAGGGTCCCGGAAGCGCGCCGTCAGGGGTCAGCTTTTAGGCTCAATAAGAACAATTTCGGATTTTAAAAATATTTTATTATCTGTTGTGAAATCATTTGGGACTCTGAGATATTCAATACTGCATGTGTACAAGTATAAGGCCGGTAAAAGGGAACGTACAAGTTCAAATCGTTTTAATCCATTAGTTTCAGATTACCTTTTCAACCGTGCTCATTAGCAAACCCACGCGGCCTATGTTGCTCATATTTGTTACCAACAATGTACTATTCACCTGAGACATCTAAAATGTATTTTTAGCAGAGGTATGGTAATAAAATACTACTTTTGTAACTTAAACCCCATCAGACGTCAGTGCTAGATTGAATATATGATTCTTCTCCTCGGGGGTAGGGTTAAAAGAACTGACAATAATAGCTATTGGATTTGTGACAAACAGCTTATGTTGTTTTGCTTTGTAAGCCATACATTCGTAGTTGTCGCCCATAATACATCTTTAGGCGAATACAGATAACTCTGCTTGATTGTTTAAGAGTAAAAACAGTTTCAGAATTGTGATTTTTTCCCATCTCCATCCCTTTCGCGACAGTGCATGCAACGAGTTTGTGTTAGCTTGCATCCTACTTGGAACTGCAGACGAGGGAGCTTTGAATTCGAATGAAGGGGAGGCGTACGAGCAAAATATTTTCATTTTTGTTCGAAAACCGTTTCATACAATACAGTTTTCGTATATTTTAAATGCATGTTTGATAAATTCAAAGCAGGCATTTTTTAAGCGATTCCCACAAAGGCAGTATGCGTAAAAGCAATCGTCAGTGGTCTAAATTTCAGATCAACTTTCATTGCATATTGTGGTTGACAATCCTCTCTCTCTCTCTCTACACCTACTCTTGCTCGATTCTTCGTCGATGCCCGAGGGATTATAGTGGGGAAATAGCCTTGAAGTATTCTGTGTTGCATATCATCAAAGTAGACTGGAGAACTGTTTCGAGTGGCTGTCCATAACAAGGCAGGGGGCACGTGACAGACAACTGGTTTTCAGACTTGTTTTCAACATTTGCTCGTATCCACCCGCCAATCGGAGGTCGACAGTCATCAGAAGACCCGACCCAAGTGAAAGTTAATAAGATTCGATTCCCAAAAGTAAAAGCAAGGTTGCTTTTACCGTCTTTGCAAAATATATATATTTGCAGTGACTTATTACATTGCCAGTTTATAATGTTCATATCATGTTATTATCATTAAGAGTAAGATGTGGTGCGACCACGTGTAGACACCCAGAGTTTAATTTTGAAATGCCAAAAAGACTCTTACGATTTTATTTATCCTAATGCGTTCAAATATTTGTGATTTGACTTGACTCGACCGAAGTACTTGACTCAATTCGACGTTTGTTGCCTAAAGACCCGAGTCACTCCGTTTGACTCACTACTCCACTCGAATCACAAAAATTAATGACTCGTTACAACTCTGCCGTCAGGCCTACGTCATGTGCCCCAGGCAACAGCCATGAATAGGGCGGTTGATTTGGGATGGATTTGGTGGTTACGAGCGAAATTGTACCGCCGTTGCTTTCGTTGTTCGTAGCGCATTGCTTTAACCGCGCGTCAGTGCGCCGCAATCAAAGTGCGCACCCGTGACGAGCGTATTGAGAATATGAAAAACAACATAACCTGACCTTATATATCAGTAATAATGCACGACATGATTGCAACCAAATGGTTGCAATAAGGTCTGTGCTCTTTTTACTGCACATTTGGCTGGTAAAAATATGGCTGGTCGTCAGAACAAAAGCTCAAGAACAGTTTTTCTATTGTCAGAAGATTTCACGTAGCCATCATAGCACCAAATAAGCACTTCGTGTGTGTCCCAAGAATGGTACAAGCAACGTAGTCCCATTTTGCACAAACAATGTGAATGAACTGGTGGTTAAACCGTTTTACTGGCACTCTTATTTCACCACATTTGCCTTTTGCTGATCCTGAGATAGGCCTTAGTGAAAAGCGCTCCAAAATGAACTTGTGCCACATTTCAGGGACAAAAAAGATGCTCTATCCTCTCATCAACGTGTTTCGTTGCATAGCATTTCAATTGAAATCAAATTATAATGCACGTTTTGTTATTTCAGTCGTGTAGCTGTCAGACGAGGCACATGGCACAAAGAGTTTTGATTGCTTATTTCAAAGTGTACAATGTAAGTTGGTAATAATGGACAGCATTTGCTTGAAGCACATCGTGGTTGAATCCTGAAGAAAATGGGGGAAAAAGTGCATTTTGTCGCAATATCTGACACCAACCAAGAGTGATGTCTCTGAAAAATTGGCTAGTCATAAGGAATAGTTGGCATATTATAAGAGAGGTCCTTTCTTCGGGTTTCCACTGGCAGCAGAGAGCAGTCAAGTCTCCAGTGCACAATAATACTGTCATTAGTGGATGCCGGTGATGGGTGTTGTCGCTGTCCGCTGCCCCCAGCAAAATGGAGTGGCAAGGACCCGTGTGTATTTATCGCCCCATTTGCTTAATTTTCTCTTGGACACAAGGGATACGGGTGAAATGGCATTTGTTTCATGATTGCTCGTCTCCCGCTTGAACCAAGGGAATTGTTGCCACTTGTCGACACCTTCCCATTTTCCAGACTAGCGGCCCAATCAAAATTACCGTTTATTCGCGTCCTGTTTGTCGAGGCCAAATTTAGCACAGGTTTGAAAAGTCAACCGTTGTCATGAATCGAGAAGCTTTTGTATATTTTGGTCGGTGCACATTTACATTATAAATACACACTCCCCCGCCATACCCCGTAAGTTGGAGTTGATCATGACCCCGGATGAGGGAAGTATCCATCAATCCTTTATCTGGGCGAAACCATTCGCTAGTACGGGAACTCTGACATCGTTTGAGTGCTATAATACAGATAGTAAAATGACATCTTAAACTTCAAAACATGTACAGAATAATAGAAAAATACTTAATAATTAACCTCCTTAGAAATCTTTCTTTTGTTGAAAACTCAAAATCCCACGTGCGTAATTTCGCCGGAGCAATTTGCCCATATGCATAACACAATATTTGTCACTTCTCAAAATTCTGCGTTCGCGTTGTTTTGCCCATTGCTTGCGAAATTTGTCTATTCTTGGGAACTCAACCACCTATACGCCCTTGTTTGTGCCTCATGAAAAACCTGTCTCAAAAGTAAAAATGATATTTATGTGAAATTTTCCTTCGATCGATTCTAGCCTATTATGTTCTCGACGACTGTAACCAATCTTGACAAAGTAACCTCCCTTGCAGGTTGTTCGTTGCAACACACTTAATTTATTCCGTCCTGAAACAGGAGTTTCAAATACAAAAAACAATGATTTTTGGCCAAATTCGTCCTTTTGTCTAAGCCGTGGTGATTCACATAATTTCAAATTAGTGTTTTTTTATTCTCACTGTCCTTTCATTTTCGTTCTATTCCGTGTTTCTTTTTGCACCTTTTAAGATTTTTCAAAGAGAGACAAGCACCCTCTTGCCCTCCATTCCACAGCGTCCGACCAATCTTGAGAACGATGCATTATTCGGTACTTGATATTAGCTTCTGCGTTACAGGAAATGATCTATAATTTTTTAGTGTAACTGGACACGGAACTGCAACGATGTGACATTTCTCCTGGGACGTTCGACCCATTCACTCCTGGAATTAGGCCAAGAGCGCCATTTTAAGATTACGGAGAAGAAACTTGAGTTATGCTCGTTCTCAAAGGACAATTGGTTTCATCGTGCAATGGGGATTAAACCATTCTTTTTGGCAACCACCCTCTGCAAAATTTAGATTAAACTGGCACATACTTCCGTACTAACTTCACAGCTAAAATTAAGACGATTCCATGGACAACAGTCATGGACTGTTTGCTCAAAACAGTGAGCCCCAAGCATCAGTCAGTGCCCTTTTCGCCCAGCTGAAATGACGAATCGTGTGACAAGATTACGCGCACGGTGAAAGTGGCGTATAAGTAGAGGAGTGTTTGAGTAGGCCTGCCATGAATGATAATTTGGAACACTGAACTATTAAAATAATCATGAATAGTAAGGTATAAGGCATCCAATGATCGAAATACTTAAATTTTATGAGTAATAACTCCCTTTTTCCCTTGCTATCTAATGTTTCCGTAGACCTTTAAATATGTCATAAGTGATCAAGATTTGACGTCAGGGGACGTGTATAAAATGTACCCTATGGTGTCTGCCGTGCTCGTCGTGGTCCAGGTGTTGCTGTTTCAAAATACCTCATCAATTTCGACTGTCCCTGTAGTCTGTCCCTGTACGCCATCCGTATTACCCAGCCGATCGATAAAGATCTGTAATTCATACCGTTTGTCTTCTTTATTTTTCGTTCACAACGACCGGAAACGGATGTTCTGGGGAACATGAGCTGCCATCTAACTTCACAGCAACACCTGCTCAGTCGTCCCGAGGCGGGTCGGCTACAGGCTAGCCTTCCCCCTTTCCCCCCAAAGGAAGGTCCACCATCTGCCGACGTGCACAGGGTCTGAGTTTCCATAATGTAAGTGGTTGCCATAGTCACCGTTTCTTTCCTCCGCTGCCTGGCATTTAGTCAGCTAGCTGCTCAAAGCTTTGATATTTAAGTTTAATAATCACCAGCATCAGATTCATAGGTCCTTTTCTGACGACGAGACACGCTGACATCAAGGGAAGAAGGAAAAATCACGCAAGAGGTAATAGGATGCAAGCAGAGGAAGAAAAGAAAATGAACTCAGTCGGAAGCCTCCACTGAAAAAGAACGTTATCGTAGCTGCAAATTTATTACATGCTGGTATGTGTAGATTCAATTGCTAATGTGCATAATAATGCAAGGGGTGTTCAGTGTGCTTGGTCTGTCCAAAAATGACCTTTGTATAAACCAAAAAGATCAGCCGCGCTTTAAAAAGTTCTATTTTTCAGCCTGTCACCCATGCGCGTGCAGTTAGCAAGCGGCACGTTCGATCAGTGATAAATAGTCAACCAATGATCGATTTTGACTAGTAGCCTATGCATTAAAAATATATCGGGCATCAGGGAAAATCGACCAGTGGTTAACAAATTGCGGCTGATCAAACTTGCTCCAGGGTGACAAACCCACCGTATTTGCCAAATGGTCTTACTTTGGGCGGAACGTGGTAATTTTCCAAAGCAACTTTTTTTTTCATTTAAAATCATTTAAACTGTGACGAAGACGACATCCCATTCGTTACCTCGTGCAATAACTCCTTCCATTTACCAAACACGAAACCTACCTTTTTGTCGTATGCGACCCTAGACAATTCCGAAAGGAATCCCACCATCACAGGAGTAAATTCTAAATAAATATTTCACTGTATAAATCCTTGCCTTTAGCCTACGAGTTCAGTCATAACTTGTGGCTGCGAAATGGAACTTCCATTAACCGATTTAGAGGAGCCTCTGTTTAATTCTGCTGCGCCGTACGATGGGAGGAACAAATCAGTGACACCAGTCAGGATGACCAACCGTTGAATGTGATTTAGTTACACGATATCACATTGTTAATGTCTATAAGTTTTCTGACGATGATTAAGTTAATAACACCTTAAATAACCTTACATGAGCCGAGGACAGCAGATTCTACCCCTTACAATGATTATTAAATATTGTGACGGCAATTTTTCTAGATCACACGGAGCCGTCTGGTGTTGTCAGTCTATAAAACTCTTGCATACCATTCCTGGGAAACTTTTAATTTCTTCAAAGACAGGCTAAAAATAAATTCATCATTGACTGTGCTAAATACATGGGTCAACAGGGGAGTGTGAAACAATTGTGTAATAAAAAAGGACACTTTGTCGGGTTGAATAGACCGTATTCGAGGGAGATCCAATTTCAGTAGTATTTCTGAACGTACAATATTATATACATTTGAAACCATAAATGGGATGGCACCAGGTAATTTGGGGTCGTAGTGAAATGGACTGGTCCCCATCCCTATTATATAGGGACCGGTAGCTAGCTGCGGTTTAACGTGTGCGATTGGGCCCTACGATTTGGTTGCTGAATATTTGAATTTTTGTCACACTAGGCCTAATTATGTTGCAGAGAGAGGCAAATAAACACACGTACCTATCCTTGCTTACCCCACTGTCGTTCACAGTAAGGTAGGCCTAATATATTTTTTCAGTGATTTTTATCGATAAATCAATTTACTTCGATTTATGGTTACTGTATTAAAATTTCCACAAATGGAAAACTTATGGTGAAGTTTTTTCGGAGATGAAGAAGAAAATGCTACCAGCTCCTGCTTGATTGTGCATTGAGCGGGCATCGTTTCCTCATTTACGTACACCCGGAAGGGTTCTGCCGGATTCATTACCTGCTACCGGTACCCATGTTCGGAGAACGTCTGTAAGACGTTTGGAGAGTACGTATGGGACGGGAACCAGTCTTTTGTTCGCAGGTGCAATGTAACAATGAGTTTGAAACAATCGTTCTTTCTGGAAATTCCAATCCATAGGAAGGTGCATTCGTTAGGCCCGACGAGACATACTTTGGTCACTAGTGTTCGGCGCTAGTATTGGCCTGTGTCTTATGAGGAATGGTTGTTCGAGACCACAGCATCGCAGGAGCCAAGGAATTCAGTTTTTTTAGTGATTGAATGTCATGGGAGACTTCAGTATCTGCATGGAGACATCCTCTGGTCAAAGGTGGCTTGCTTGAAATCATTGTGCAGCCCCATAAGACGACGTGTGTTGAACCTTTTACATACGTATAGGCCTAAGCTAACGTTCAATGCTGAAGCAGGCATGTACAGCTACAATGACATCACCAAGACTGCACCCAAGGGGCCGACAGTGCACTTGTCAGCTAATGAAAATCAAATTTTGGTCTACTGAGATTTCAGCAAGGGTTTAATTGGTTGGCCACATTGATCGAACGAATATAAACGGAAGGCAAAGTTGTACAGTAAGATGCCCAAATCTCGGACATGTCAACCCGATTGACATGACACCGGTTATCACCAGTGAGTGAACAGATCACGGTTGGATGAATCACGTACATGGAAACTACTCTGGAAATATTGGTTCATGGAGCTATAACGGAGAGAATACCAATTCATCTTTTGATCAACCTCGAAACAAGTGAGCAACTGAAGGTTCGGGGATTGCTATCTGTGGATTCAAGGCGACAAAAATAGAGGATTGGGTGAGTTAACATTTCTTTCTTTTCTTCATTGTAAATTTCCTTCTCGACACCGTGCATTATATTTTCTACAAAAGCATTTGGATCAGGCGAGCCGAAATTTCTGTCTACATCGCTTTTAAGGAATCCAGAAAAGCTTAATAACAACAACAAAATTTCATATTGATGGACTTCAGGAGCCGAACCAGTGTTGGGGCTTAATGTGTCTTAGTCCTTTCTTAGTTCATTTAGTTTGGCAAGTTTGGACCAAACTGACGCTTTTGAGTTTAGAGTAGTGCTATTCACATTTAATGCAACACTCTGTGTTCATTTTATAGCAGGATGTTATTAGAATACCTCAATTAAGTATCAACTTGTTGCACAGATATGTAACCTTAGCTTTCGAGAGACAGAAAAACCAGGGACATATTTTCTTACAAAGTCCATTCTAAACTTTTTGAAATGAGCAGAACGTCAGTCAATTTATCCAAAACGTACGTGAATTGGTGTTTATTTGAACATCTGTACCCTTTCCGATAATACTTTGACATTTGTGTATTATAACTTTTAACGCAGTATGCAGAACTTTTCGGTCAGACCCCTGTTCGAGAAATGCGTGTACATGTTAAATTTCGATCATGTCTCCGCAACCTATTGACTAGCGCCCATGAACGTGTGCAGATCTTAAGTGCAACAGTGTAGTCACTGGGTTTTTTTACCAAACATTGATCAAAATGATATGGTTTTTCCGTTTTTAACTAAAATTTAAAGCAAATAATGGGAAATACAGCCTGAAATGTTGAATAAATTCTTTTCTAAATTATTAACAACTAATGGGAAAATTGTACATCAGTTAAGTTTAATTTACCTAGAATACATTATATAGGCCTATCCAAAGTTGTCATACCTTACAGTATACAGCACACAAACGATGTTTCACCATTGATACCACGTCGGTAATAATTGAATACAAGAAACCCCAATTGTGTGTTTCTTATATCTATACAAATACACGAATTTTCTTTCCATTGTTGTATTTATAAAGGATAGCTTCCTGTAAAAAGTTAATATTTCGTCTGCCTTGGAAATATACAAAATAAAGCTATACTGAAAATTGTATTGAAGATAAAAGATAAAAAGCACTTTTTGAAACCACGACAGAGTCTAACAAAGCATTAGTTGTGTTCTTTTAAAAGAAATAGTTTTCCATTTTATACAAATTAAATCGACTTCATTGAAGAGTCTTTTAGCTACCCATTCAGTTGATTTCTTTACAATCTTTGCTTTCAAACTTTTAGAATATTATAAAAGCATTATAAAAATCATCTTGGGTACACCGCCACTGTTGCTGTTTTCTCTGCAAACATATCTACAGTAACAAAGGTTAAACTTTGAAGCGATCTAAATAAGTAAAAGTGTGTGAGAAAATATGTGAATTAACAAAACTTGAGTTTTGATTTCTGTTAACTATATTATACATATGCAATGACAGCTCACTTTATTGGGTATATGTACAATATATCTATATACACAAATTGATTAAACTGACTTCTAATTGCAATTGGCGCAAATCCATTTTATAATATAAATCTACTCCACAATACATCTGGTTTAAAAATAACTATTAAGTAAAATAGATAAATGGTAATTTGTTACCATTACTAATCTTTAAATACAATTGTGCACAGCCTGAGCCTTTTGCTACTGCTATGATAATTGTGCACGAAGAACTTTGGAAAATATGGGCAAGTTTACCAAAAACCTTCAGCGCAAAGCAGTTGAGTGGATTTTATTTTTCAAACAGATAACTTTTTGGATCATAGTGTTGCAACAATAAATTTGTCTTTCGTAATATGTATCAGGAATGTGGCTTCGGGAACCAAAACCGCTAAGAGCAACCATTCTTTTTTTCATAATAACGAGATGAAAATTAAGATTGTGTAATCAATACTCAAAATGGTCCGCGGGGACCCAATTTTATTGCCATTACCACACTTGTACGGCACCATTACTCCACAACACTGGAATCTCTCTCATTCGCTGCCAGCCCCCAATCAATCATCCACACATCCCCTCTATTTTCTACTCAGTCTCCAAGCTCATTCTCCCTCAGTTTCTGCCTGACCCCTTTCACATTCAGTTCATCTAACACACATACATTTTTCTTCTTTCCTCTCGTCATGCCTTTACATTCGTCCCTGTCGGCCATCCGTCACATTCTGTCGTTGCTGCATTCCTCCCGGGACACATTTGCTCAATCTTTTTTCTCCCATTCTCGCCAGAATCTTTGAGAGCCATTTTTACCTTCAACTTTATTACTCCTGCATTTTCTTACATCTAACGTCTTCATCCTCTCATATTTCCCACTGGTGGCAGTGCTATCTGGACCTCTCAGAAAGATATTTTCATTAAGTGTCGAAAGACTAACAGCGACGACCACAGATTTCAACAGACTATTGTTATATTTAAGCTTCAGGACTTGCTGGGCTGATATTTTGTTCCTGCGAGGTACCCCCTCCTCTTTAACCCCTTGTTTTTTCCCTAAATTTCAATGTCAACATCACAAGGATGCCTTCATCATTGAAACACATTACTCCACCGCAGTGTTGGCAAGAAGTTATGTTATAAATAAAGTTTGTGTAGTGATATGAAAAGCAGAAACGTATTCATTTCATATAGGCCTACACAGTGTAAAAGCAGTGTTGTGTATTGAAGAAGACATAGCTAATTTATAATAGGAGTGAGTACGATTTCTACTTATAAATATGCTGTTTTCAGTGTGGGTTTTTCCAGCCATATTTCGCAAAGTGTTAATTGCTTTTTGAGATAGGGCATTCACTTTCAATTAGGCTACATCTGCTCGTAAGTACAACTACACATTGTTCTGCTGATCTTGGTAATGCGGTTTCTATGCATGCGCAAACAAATTATTTTGTGTATTCAAAATATCCACTTATACATAAAGCTTGATTTCAAACCTGTAACAGCAATATTTACATACACGATGCAATGAAACGAAATGAAATATTATTCAATACTCGATTGCATCGACCTGCACGTGATGTGACCACACGATGACATTGTATACGAACCTACAATGTAAATTGACCTAACCGTCACATGTATTCATTTAAGAATAGTGCACACTATCGGCAACCTGCCGACACTATAAGTAGAAATTGTTCTATACAATGGATACAATGCATGCTTTAGCAGCTCATATGCGGGGTTTAACTAAAACTCTGGAGGTCTTCTTGTTTACTATGAAGCCCACATCGACACTTTCGAAATAACATAGGCCTATTTTACACGTAGCTAGATTATGAGAAAAGAATGGTCAAAACAGATTGGATGGAGAATAGACAACTGACAACGTACCTTGAGACGCTAGTGTTCTAATTTCTTACTCTAGGTGGTATTTTGATCATTACAGTTACAAATAAAAGTAGACGCCTTTAATATTGATCAAACAGAATTGAAACAGTTTTACATTTGTGGCCAAAGTTGTGGTTCTTAAAATCTGGACGAAATGCAATAAGCATTCCCCTCTTATAAACTTTTTGAAATTTGCATGGAAAAGCTACAATTAAGGCCCTGGATACAGAAATTCTATATGTTAACAAATGAATAAATTAGAACTAATGAAGGAATCGGATAAAACGGACTAGATTCAAAGCCCTTGAGATGCATTTAATCTTACAATTTAAACCTGTGCAATCATGCCAGTATAAAATTGCAAACTGCCTTTAATATCTATAAAATGATGCGTAAGACAGATTCGTTCGACCCCTTTGCCGGATCCTCTAACATACAATGTTGAAACATTATGTAGGGGGCCTATAATGAGCGTGCCTTTTCTTCAGTCGACAGGAAATGCTATACCCTGCTGTAGATGACGCACTCCTCATCCCTGCACCGTTTTACAGCCCCAATGGCAGCTGATAAAGGGTCCTGGCTAGACAAAATAACTCCATTTACCTCCCCAGTCACGTCTAGAAGATTTGGTCGAGATTTCACGATTAAATCAGCCCCAGTGGCGTGGTATCCTCTTCAGATCCCGCGTGCTTTGTGGGTGTATGCTAGAGAAAACGGTACACCGGTCGTGCCAAAGAGAAGTTTACCACGAACACGAAGTTAGCAATGCGCCACACCGTAACACTCATTGAGGGCGTTTGGGCACTATGCCCCTAGAGCTGTTTACACAGAGAGCTGCGAAGTGAGTGTCTCAACTATTGGAACCAAAATGGTAGACTATGCGCCAGTGCAAATGGGCAATTAGCACACGAAAGCTGCATGCTGCACTGTGCAATGAACAGACATTTTTGTTCAAAAGTCTGAAGTTGGCGCTACTCTCTCTAAATACAGCTCCGGATGCCCCTAATGACTGAAAGTCACAATCGTTCACAGATCATACCCTTATGACGCAAGGGAAAACTTCAGTTCCGATATTCTCGTCTATAGACCGGGTCCATTGCCAGAAAAACTAAGCACATTATTCTGTAATATATGTAATTTAATGTGATATTGGTCAAGTGCAAACAAATCATGCAAAGTAAGTCTTTTGTGCGTTGCGATATCATCATTGGTGCTCAACATGATCAGATATATTGTTTGCAATCGGTTAATTCAAAACAGGCGGCCACCCTGTGCAACCCTTTACAAGTTGCCCGTTCTTCAATGTTTCTAATCTTCAATGTTTCTAATCGCCAGGATAAAAAGGGATCATGTCACCCCTGTTCTGAAACCCATTTATCTTCAGTTTTGTGGATTGTGGATGGTTGGTTGGTTCATAAGTGGAGGCCGGCATCATTTGTAAATTTCACACCAGGCTTACCCTAAAGCTTATTAATACATCTCTAAATATTATTTAAATGCTGTCTTATATTCTTACACGTGCTTCGTTTGTCTATGAAACCGCGAATTCGCGCTGTGCAACCCTCAAAATTATACATGCGCTTCATCCTATAACAGCCTCCTGGTATTAAGCGTCTGGGCAGCTTGTAAGAGGATTCTCAGTGCTTTTGCTCTTCCCCTCCCCCATCATAACACACCTACCCAGCGGTGGGGTTTCTGTAGAAAGGAAGAAGACGGGAGTAACGTGTCCTAAATGTGTCTTAAAGCTGTAGGGCATGTAAACTAATGCTCAGTCGAGCAAAAGGATCGCGAGGTCCGGAAGGTTCTTTAAGTCAGAACGTGCAGTACTGACATTAGCCCGTAAAATTCACATTCAGAAACGTACGAGTTTGTTGTCGTTTGTCTCAAGGCAGAACCAGGAAGAAATAAATTCACTTGGTAAAAAACCCTTTTAAAGATTTCAGAATCCCGACGTACAAAACTGAAAGTTCTTATGATTATAAGAATAAATAATAGGGCTCTTTTACGTGGTTATAAACAGAATTTACCTTTGTAACTTTATATGATATTATATGGTTATTTTAGGACTTAAATTATCTTATAATTGTTGATATCATCCCATCTTTTCATTCAGTGCAGTATAAGGTGGCTGCCATTTTGAATTTTGCACTTCGGCATACGTAATCACAGCCCAAGAACACTGTTTGTGCAACTCACAGGGTTTTAAATACGCCCTAAATAATAAGAGTCGATCCAAATAAATTTCGACATCAACATCGGTTTTTGATGGCCACAGATTTTCATTGAAGCGCGACTTCTAGAAAATTAATCTGTCTACGTTTAAGACTGCAGGTATATAAAATAGCTTTCTACATACGTGCGCTGTATGAAGATCATAGGTTTTACTCCTTATGTACCTTATAGATCCTAAGGTCGTGGTCACGTGTGGCACATATAACTAAGCTTGAACAGACACCGTCATTTTCAAAACAACAGGACTACACAATGGAATTTATAATGTGAGTTTCTTCCTGTGAAAGTCTCAACAAACCTGTCATTTTCTCAGGCAGGCGGTGTAGTTCTTCCGAATCTTCTCAGACTTTGTTTTCAACGATTTCGTCCACTAATTCGTCTGGACACGTGAGCTTCACTTCCATTTGGTACGCTTCGCATGTACCCCCTGGCGTACCGTTACAGCTTGAACTAGCGGGACCCGCGGTGCGCGTTGTCACGTATTCATACCGGGTCAGACCGTTTGTGGGCCTGTCCGCCGTGTGTGAGTTTTCGTTCAGGTCGGTTGTGCGCCCGAAGCTCTTGCTGTGGCGGCTTTTCAGGTTAGCGTGCCTGAACCAACAGTGAAACGACGACTTCAGGTTGCTGCGAAAGTTCTTGTTGAGGAAAGCAAACGCAACTGGGTTTATGCAGACGCTGCACATGGCAAACCAGTGAAGTGACAAGTAGAGAATGTGGCTCTTGTGCTGGTGAGGCCTGAAGTGGCTCACTAACAGGTACACGTTGATTGGGCACCAGCACACAGCAAACACTGCTACAACCAGCACCAACATTCTAGTGGTGCGATTCTTTGTTTGGTTGGTTGCAGCTTGCTGCTGTGCAGTCACATCCCCAATGGAAGTTTGAGCCCACAGCTTGATGCCAATATGAAGGTAAGCTCCTGATGTCAAGGCAAGTGGAACCACAAATTGATAGATGAATGTGGCCAGGGTAAAATACTTGGCAAAATCGTTGCTCTCTCCGGGGTAATTGGACAGGCACAACACCTCGTTTTTGTTCGAAGGTCGCTCCACGAGGTTTCGGTAAATCGCATACGGAAGGGACAGGGACATCGCCAACGCCCAAATCAACACAGCGATTGCTATGGCAGTCCTCATTGTGATTCGGGGCCGAAGTGGGTGGACTATGACACTGTGGCGATCCAGTGCGATTGCCGTAAGCATAAAGGTCGACACATAGACAGACGACATACCCAAATAGTCGGCCAGGTGACACATGAGGCTGCCAAATGGCCAGCTGCCGACCAGATGATTAAACGCAATAAAAGGAATGTTCAGCACAGTCATCAGCATATCAGACAGTGCTTGATTGGCCAAGAAAAAGTTTGTCACGCTGCGCAAACGCTTGTTGCGTACGACAACGAGACAGACAAGGGAATTTCCCAGCAGGGACATTATGGTGATCATTGCGTACAGTGTGATGAAAACAGCTCGTGCTGGGACGCTGTAGGGATTAGAAAAGTCCATACTTTGTTCGCCATTGTTACTGCCTTCCTCAATAAGATCTTCCAACAAGCCTTTATAATTGATTTCAGAGGAGCTCTCAGAATGCTGTCCTAAGTTGTCTAATACTGTGTAATTAGTGTACCCTTCATCAACGTCAGCATCGCGTGTGCCAACCCCTCCGTCATCAAAGAGCCGTATGATTTCTTCGAAGGGCCGGATCGCGTTGCCCGTTGTGTCCAGATCTGTTGTCGCTCCATGTAACCGGGCCGCCATCATTCGAATTATCTTTGTCTTCAAGAACCTGCAATGCAATATGAAAATTAAACACAATTTATTGTAATGACTCTGTACTTTATACAGCTGTCGTTTAAGTGAGTTAAGAAGTGAAAGCCAAAGGCTCTTCAAAGCAGAGCTTGTGGAACAAAACAAGCAAATGCACCTACAACTGTAAAGTTGATTAGGTGAAGTACATGCTTGGGGAGCTGAGCATTTTATCCTGTTTGTAGCAATGTATGTAGAAACTCTTGGCCCTGGCATTACAATGGAAATATCAGATTACCCCCGTCGGATTGCTTTTGCGTCGATAAAACTTCTATTATTTTGTGCTACTTCGCTGTAGCATAAAGTCCTGCAGAGGGCGCTCTAGGAGTAAGTACAGCAGAGGTAATCACAAATCTGAAGCAGTTGCTGGTCGTTAGCTTAGATGCCTTTTCAAGTGCTGAGACCGTATAACTTTTCCCGGCTCCCCAATTTGTTTGTTGCAATTCCCGCCAGCCTTGCGGTCGATAAAGTAGGGTTCACGTCTGTCTACGAGAGGCAAGTGGTCTCTGCCAGCTGTTTCTCTCCCAAGTGCTATTTGCCTGACAAAATCTAAAGGAAGACTGTCAAATTTCCTCACAAGCGTCGTACTTGTAGGTTCCTCTGCGCAATTGGGCAGACCGGTAGCCTAAGGGCAGGCCTCTTGGCCGGACATTGCAAGTAAATTCATTCGGATTCAAGGAAAACACAAACTGTCGGCAATGCTGATAACCAATGAACAAAATTTCAGCCGCGCGGTGCCTCGTTGTGTGTCGTCCCTGGACCCGGGCTCTGAGGACTCCGTATCTTGTGCAAGGAAATCACGAACATTAAATATGATGTCCACTGGCAGTGCACTGTTTCGAAGATGTATTGAATATTGACAAAACGACGCGTCATAATTAAAGTGCTCTGTTTTCAGTAAAAAGTGCGAAAGTAACAACAGGATCAAGTGTTCCTCTTAATACTATGCGCTCTTTATGACAGCTGGAAAAGGGATTGTCTCGTTAGTTTTAGTTATTGCACTGAGCAACACGACCACTGGAAGTTGTAACATCCGTTTTAATAGCAAACGTTTGGTATTTTATACTCCAAGAAGGCAGGCAGCGACGTTCACAAATGAATAACACTCTTTTATGTAAAGAAGTTTTCAAACTTCAGAGATAATCGTGCATGACAAAGGGTGACCTTTAAGTACACATACTTCGATCTTAAGCCGCTTTAATTATGATGACGGGAATCTGCCCAAGGCTAAAATTATTGGTTTTTAGTGTATTTAACCTGTTTTAGACCCCATCCTGTTTTATTATTACTCTGATTACTATGCCAATAATGCGAAAACATTTTTTGTTAAAGCCAACAATATTTTTTGGCTTAATCACTTTGCAACTTTCCATCAAATAAAAAATAACTTAAAGTAAAAGCAACTCTCCATTAACCATTAGCACTCGCGCCCACTAATATCACAATATCATTTTCATGGGTTAGTTTCAAATACTTTTCTAAGTATCAATTTTTGCCGCCTTCGTAAATGAACTAAAACATTGCTTCATGCCTTTCCTTCAGAAATATTGTGTTGGTGTCTATGTTCGGAGACCTAAGAAACCTAACCACTTTAACCCTTGCCAAGGACTTGTACCTGACTTGAATTTGTCATTGGTGGATAGTATTTTAGTATTTCTGACACGTATATTGCGTTATAATTCAAGCATGTGGGCTATCCCATTTATTGTTGGTTGAACCTTTTTAAACAGGCTTTAGAGCTAGAAAGTCGTTATTGCATCCATGATTTGTGTTAACTAACCTTTTATCCAATGAATTCAACGTCATAATGACTCGTGTTGACCTTATCCATGCAGTAGGTTAAAAGATGTTTATAACAGCCACTGTTCACAGACATTTTGGCCAAGTTGAAATTGATCGCACAACATCTGGCAGCGACATTTGCCATGGCGGCATGAGATCTACACCGCGGGCGGACGGATTGTTGGCCGGCTGTAGGTGATTGCTGGCAAGGGTTCCTGGCGCTACAAACTCATTTACCACGGAGCAAACGCACAGGAATGAGGAAGAGGCACTTGTCGCGTATAAAACTGTTAAAGGTCATTAGAGGGTGCGCATGTCTCTCTCGTAGTGTGATAGCTTGCAGCCGATGAACACACGATTTTTAACGGCAACTTCCAGAGGACAAATAGAACAATGTCTTCAAACTGATTTACTGTAAATTCCTACTTAAGCATCAGAAGTATCGCCATCATTTTGTTGGTACCCATTTTCCCTTTTTGGAAAACGTTTAATAAAAATAAAAACTGTGTCCTATCCGAATCGGTCGCTTTGACCACGGTCGACACTTTAAGCCTACTTATAACTTACGTGATGAACGTGGACTCGGTAACGAGGTTAAGGGGACTGTAATGAGTTGTATCTGTCATTTAGGTCTAAAATCGATCGATGAATATTCCCCTCGCTACAAGGCAGAAACTCTCCTCTTTTTTTTGCTTAACCTTCGCGGGGAGTCCGTGTGGTCGTCACCTGGTAAGAGCATTTCACTTAGGTGATGTCGCCGGGGGCGGGTAGTATTTCGCCCACTAAGGCTCTTAAGGGGGTGATGGCATGCAGCTTGTGCCGGTATGTGCTTGTAGGCAATGCCCATCCCTCCCCCATCAATAGATGCACCATCATAGATAAGTAATATCGTAGCTGCTCGTTCGTTCCTGTGTTTTGGCGATTACCGCTGGCGGCAGTATCTCTTTTTGTCCAACGACCGACCCAGGGAATATTGCAAAGCCATGCGAGCCTCATTGAGAGCATGTACCAGTTATCAATTAGAAAACTCCCAACAACCGCTGCAATAAACTAAAACAGACCAGGGATGCCCCTACGCTGACAGTGAAATGGGTATGTGGCGTAGGGTGCATGGTTGCCGACAGTGCAAAAATTCAAAGATTAGGTAGATCCATCCTGTTGCTTTGTAATTAGAATCTAGCACATTCAATTTCTTTGAAAATGTGAAGTACAGACTTGAAACTATCAAAATTTGTTGATAAACACTTGTAGGTAACCCATCGGATTTTGTTTTCGGTGCCTTCATTTAATTTGTTTATAGCAAGTTGGAAAATGTGACGTAAGAAGACATGACATTTGCTGATAGGTTTTTCAACTGGCATGCTCGACCACGATTAAGACCACTAATGGGCCCCCTCCTATTCAACAGTACCATGCAGTCCAAAATAAACTGATGCATTATATGTAAATATCCATGTCTTTAAAAGGCCAAAAATTAATGCGTATTGTTGATGAATCCTGTCGACCGCTCAAAGGTGAACTACATGTCAAGGGATATGGTAAATGCTTCAACAGGTACTTAATATCACAGTCATAAATATAGTTTGTTTGCACTTTTCTCCAATTCTGTTTTAACGAAATGATTGGGTTCTTAAACAGTGCTTGAGAGGAGTGGTCCTACTGTAAGTTATGCAATCTTTCTTATAAATTACACACTAACTTTTATGGCCGTTGAACTAATTCTCCCATGGACGTGTGCCGTCCGTTCCTATTTAGCTAAAGAAATAATAAACGGTGGGAATATCATTACAGATACTTTGACACGAGGCCTGTCGCCTGAGGTACTCGTTATTAAATTTGCCTACATAGCGTTAACAACAGCACGACGTATCTTTGAGAACAGCTATGTCAACTTCCAACCTTCTTTCCCTCAGATAAGCGACATGATAAAAACACAGGATAGGCTCAGCTGTAACACATAGCCCTGTGATACACGGCGGCACATATAGCGCTTACACAAATTGGCTCCAAAAAGTCCTGCCGACGTCCGCTGAAATAATAAGTTGCCATTGCAAACCTAAATCAAGTTGGCGTTAATCTTCTTGTGAGCGGCCCACAGGAGATATTGATGTTCGGATACAATTACTTTTTTGCGGTCAAAATTAAAATGTAGTGATTGCATACGGAACAAAACGTCGAACGGCGCTTACAACTTGTGAGAGTGGAATGTCCGTCCTGACTTTGATATTGAAATCACCTCATTCATAAAGATAAGTCTCTTATTAAAATAGATACCCACCCCAAACACTTCTTGTGACAGACATTGATTTTGAACAGTGTTGATAATGCTCCAAGTTTCTTCTTTTCTTTTCAAATTAAAGAAAAGAGTTATGAGATCATACCAATTCCTTAAGCAGAGCAGCAATAAGTCTTTTCAGATTCAGAGGCTAGTACTCCTAAGGATGTCCTAAAAGGAAACCATGACTCTGGGATACATTCATCGGATTTTCCATAAGTGTGTAATTTAGTTGACTCGAAAGTTATTACACACTTTATACTTCACTTCACTCTCAGATGATGTATTTGAAAAAATACATCATCATTCGTTCCCAGATGGATTAAAATAAGACGACCTCGTTGGGAACGTTGTTGTAAACAAGTTAACTGTTTAAGCACGACCGCTCGAAACTCCGCCGCTAAAGTGGGCTCTCGAATTTGAAGATGCCAGACGAATTTAGCATAAAGGACAAATCTAATCTCTGATTGTCATAGCAGACCTAATTTCATACACATGCTGTGTACGTGACTAAACCTACACTAAATGGATGCAAAACCGAAATTATGTTTTGTATTTCGACTTCTCTACTCGATAAATTGATCCTAACACACTGGCCCTAATATGACTGTTTGCCTCTAATCAAATACAGTTTTCAGATGGTCTTTATTAATTGGGTAAACGTTTTGACATGTTCAAAGGCACCGACAGGCTTCTCTTCAAACTCCAGTCTTGTAGCACATTTTATAAATAGTTAAGGTACATACTTGGCACGTTTACATAGTTTTTATTGGGTAATAAAAGTGCACCAGTCAGGCCAAACCGTTGGTGGGTTTGCTTACTTTAATAAAAAATGATTCATTTCCAACTAACCGGGTATTAGGTTCTGATTGAGTAGCAGGGTGAACATCATGTCAGAAGAATCTTCCAGATCATGCAGATTT